GCCATTCTGTTTAGTCCAGTTAGTCGGTCCAACTTAGGTGAATTGACAGTCATTTGATGGCTTACAGCAACCAGACTGCCATAACATAATAAAACGCATTGTTAGAACACAAGAAAAGAAAAACCAAAGTGGCTATGCCAACAACAACAATAAATTGCAGTTCATGGACCCCAAAACGGGCAGAAAGCAAAATCATATTCGTTAAAATTGTGACGGTAAACAAAACCAATTAAAGTTTTAAACAGAGTAGATAGACGGAACAGAACCAAAACAAAAACCCATATCTCAGAAACAAGAAAAAAAAAGAGTGGGCAAAAACTAAAATACCTGAACGGCAGACAAGTGCGCCTGGTAAAACTCCGTAACGGAAGCATTAAGATATTTATTATGGAAATTAGTACAAACTTTACGATCAGACAAACAACTCTTAATCTTATTCCAGTTCTTGTCTCTAGTAACCCTTTTCTGCAACCAGTTTGAGTAATCCCGAAGTCGGTATTCCTTATATCCTTTCCCGGACAACACTTCTCCCGCCCCTTATTCGTCACCACGAAGCAAAGTTAGTGAAGACGAAGCCGAATACGATGAGGAGCAACTTGACGATCAAGTAGTCCCGCAAGTGAGAAGACCATGAGGAAGACTCCGATAACGATAAAGGGCTTGTCTAAAAATCATTCAAAATCCGTTACGCCTGCTAGGCTCAGCCAGATGCCGGCGCCGAGGATGGGGATCGAGAAGAGGAACGTTACGAAGTTGAGGAGTCCCACTAGGTTGTTACTCAGGCGTAACAACATCTTTCAGGCTTTGGGTTGGTTCTCTGTTTTTTTTTTTTTTTTTCGTTGGATTAAGAGAAAATTAGAGAGAGAAAAACTAAAAGAGGAAAATTGAATTTGGATAGAAACTGGAGTCCGTTGGGGGTATACATATGAGTGCCTGGAGAAGGAGTTCGATTAACAAGTTGATAATATATTGATCGTAAAATCTCTGTGGTTAGTTGGTACGTAACAAAGTACAAATAGGTGGACAGAGTGTAATTATTTTTTTTGTATTGGCGACGCTTTGGTCAAAATCTGTTACCGTATTATTTTACAGATCTTAATGACGATAGCATTTCCCAACACGAGCGGCCCTTAAACTTAGACCTAAGCCTAAACTCGCCTTTTTCATTACTCTTCTTACTCTGCATCCTGACAACTCAATCCGTATCTGGTAATACGAGTTTTGATGCTATTCAATCTTATAAAATTAATTTTTTTGTTAAATTAAATTTTGAATTGAATCAAGTAATACTAAAAAAAAATTAAAGTCAAATTTTAGATACATTCGGTCAAATCTGATTTGATATATATAAATTATTTTTTAATTATTTATTTATTTATATATATTTATATATTTATTTAATTTTATATTTATATTAAAAAATAATTTTTTATATTTAAAAATAATATTTTATTAATTTCAAATTAAATATAATTTTTATAATATCGAATAAAATTGAATTCGAATTTAAAAACTAAAAAATTTTTTAAATTAAATTAGATTTAATTTATAAATATAAAATCGAGTTCAGAGCAAGTAAAACTTACTTCGACCCTATCCGTTATGATTTTTAATCTTTATCTTTTACCTCGTAGTTAAAATTGATTCCGCTTAACCAAAAGTTAAAATGAAAAAAACCTACAAGAAAGTTTATGAATTTTTTTTAAAAATAATTTCATAAAAAATTTAAATTAATAGATTAATAAAATTTAATGTAAATATCAATAATATATAAAAATATTATTTATAATTTAAATTTAATCTATATTTATTTAACGATAAAAATTTTATTAATATTTTTATTAAAAATATCTATTTAAAAATATATATCAAAATTTATTAAAATTTTTTCAAAATTTATATATTTAATTTATGTAACTAAAACTTTTTAATTTATTACTTTTAATTTTTATTTAATCATTTTTTAATAAAAAATTTCTTAAATTTTAGTTAAAAATTTTTAGCTTTTCCTAATCAAAATTGCCAATACGCAATCAAACTACGCGTCACCTTAATTTGCCTTACTGACACGGTTGGTGTTTGATTTGATCAAGTCACCCTCCTACCTTGCACTCGTTTTCCTCCTTAAAAGGAAATATTTCCAATTTTGATGTCTTAAAATTTTAATCAACAAGGATTAGTTCAAGGGTCTGCCTCTTGTTTTATTATTTTTCATTCTTAATATAATTTTAATCATCATTTACCAATATGATTTTTACAATTCATGAATAGAACATATATAATATAAAAGATGACAATGAATATATTGATAATTAATAGACAAAAAAATTATGGATAGAGTCAAATTATAAGTTCAATTGATAAATGATAAATGTGTTTCCATTTGTTAATGTTAATTTGGACTATCTTGATGTTAGTAGGATTATCTTGATTTTTGAGTCTCACAAATAGTTCTTTATTGATATTAATCTCATTATCAATAAATGTATCATTATGTAAGAATATAATAAATTTTGTCTTAAAGTAAATTACGGGTTTTAAAATGTAAAATAACAAAAAAAATTACAAATCAACAATAAAAAGGAATCTTTAGTAATGCCTACGTTAGGAAAATTTTGCGAAAGTTTCTCTTCTAGGTTTCAAATTGTTTTACTGCTGTAACATTGTCAAAGTTGAACATTATTGAACAAATTATTTTGTTATATTTTAAAACCTTTTACATGGAATTGAAAGTGTAAAAAAAAAGAAAAAAAAGCTACTTGAAATTCTTGCAAAAAAGACCTTTCCTTGGAAAACATCAAGCAAGCAATCACAAATAAATCCTTTGGTCTCGTGATCCCATGGTTTTACAATTTTAGACGATATCCAAAAGAACTAGGGGATTTCATAACATTTCTAAATCTAATAATTGTGTAATAATGGCATGGTAGCAAGGCACTCGTGACCTTTTCATAAACCAAAATAAAAAAAATCTTCAATTTCTCTTGTTAATGAAACTTTGGTTATTTTCATGAATATAATACTTGTGTAATAGGCTATTAATGAATGAGAATAAATCTTAGTATTTGTGAATTTAAAATAGGAGTATAAATGATTCATTAATACTTATAAGTTATTCGGATTCGATTTAAATAAAACTTGAATTCAACTAAATTATTATCGAATCGAGTTTAAATTCAAGTAGTTCGACTTATCAATCGAACTTAATTCAAATATTCTTATACCTGATTCGAATACCTCACGAGCCTAATCGAATTTTTATATTTTAATATATTTTAATTATTTTAATTGATATACTATCTCGAACTCAAATTTGAACTCAAGTATAAATAATTAAGTTTTTGTTGAATATAAAAATTAAATTTATTTTTACATATTAATCGAAATTAATCGAATGAACTCGAATAATTTGATTTTTATTTCGAGTCGAGCTCGTGTTAAAAAAATAAAACTCGATCGAATTCGATTTGAGTTTTGAATATTAAATTTGAAGTCAAACTCAAATTCGAACTTAATATTGTATCAACTCAAATTTAATCGATTATACCCTTAATTTGAAGTATATACTTTTTTTGGGTACAAAAGATAATAAAAGAAAAAAAATTTACTTTATAACTGCCTCATTCATAAATGAATTACATTATTTAGGTTTAAGAAATTTGATTGAGATTCAAACTACATTGTAACGCGTTTTAATTTTAGCCCAGCAACAACTACACGTGGTTGCTACATCACAAGGCGAAGAGAAGAAGATTTTACCATATAGTAAAATTATTCTAATATCATTGCCTGTCGCTTCTTGATTTAGTGACAAAAAGCTTTAAAAAATGCAAGAAAAGCTTGAGTTGGAACAAAACCAATCCCTCCGCATCCCTAAATCATGTAGGACAAAAAAACAATTATTCTGATATTATTATTATTATTATTACTTTGTTCTTCCATTGGAAGACTAAGAATTAAAGAACATTCCAATTATTTGCACCACCGACATTTGTAATGCTGAAAGCAACAGAATGTCGTAAATTTTGTGCCCGAAACGCAGAATCCAAGTTTAAGATTAAAATTTAAATTTTCATAGGATAAATAATTAACGTAACTCTTCGTAACCACGGCTTGACTAGTCAAACACTACATGGTCAGACATATATACCACCCCATCATTGTTAACTCATCTTAAGTTCAATTAATCCAAGATCAAAGACTAGCATAAACATATATATATATATATATATATATGATAAAAATATCACAGTTTAAAAGTAAACTTTCATATTTTTTCAATAGAAGAGATTACAGTTTTAAAGTAAGCTTTTTATGGTTAAAGTAAAATTTCGCTCTCCATGTTTTGAAGAACTTATATTACCATTAAATGGGAAAAAATGTAATATATATGAATTAAATTTTGATAATAATTAAACCTTAAATTTAACTAAATTGACTCATATAATCACTTCTAAAAAATAACATCTAATAAATATATAATTCAAATATCAACCTATGAAACTTGTAATTTTATTTTCATATCACAACCTCCTTTGTATAAAAAAAATTGATGAAAGTAATATTTTTTCTAACAATAACGTTGAAAACAGAAAGCAGATTTATGAAAAATAACCTCAATAATTTGAGATTTAAAACTTAATATTCATTTGAGAGCTTCCATTTGTGTAATTTGTGTTTGACTGTTAGTACAAGCATGTCTTTACCTGCCACTGAATTCGTGGTTTCAAGGTTCAAAGTTTAACTGAATTTTATGATCATCATTCAGAAACTATATATCGATTTTTTTTCATATAATATATATATATATATGTATGCATGTATACTCATCTTTTGGATTAAATGGTATTCAACCTTGACTAGCCTTGTTTGGATCTGACTTTGCGGCTCACGTAAACAAACAATGACGCACCACTAACTGTAAATCAAGATGAAACAATCTGCTGAAAAGCAGTTTCATGAATTAAGAAATCAGAAAAAAACATCAGGGCACATTCCAGTTTTTCACTGGCTCATCGACCATAGTGCATCAATGCTCAATAAATTCAACAAATCTCCATTTGTAGCTTATTAATTCAAAAAATTCAAGGATAAACACTGAAACTAGCTAAAGACAAAATCAAGATAAAAATATGAGTTCTCCATATGCCAGAGAAGGATCACCTATTTCCAATTTGCCATCACAGAGGTCCCGGGAAAGTACCATTCTCCCTCTGCTCATTCCACCTCTCAACCTGCAGCAATAAGTGACATCCAAAATATTAAGAACAGAAACATGAGTTTAATACACAATGCCCAACTTATTCATCTTCTGATACAAGCACTAGAGATCCTAAACCTAAATTCAGTTCACATAAATCACATATTAGTTTCATGACTTTCATCACCTTATCCTTCTACGTCAACATATGACCAACAGAAGAATAGGAACAATTAGAAGTAAATAAGTCCCTACCGAAAATCTAAAATCTTGATAACCTTTACGGAACTGTCCATAAATTAATAAAAAGTTCAAGTAGACCCTTCTTTTATATTGTTAATTATCATCATCAGCAATATTAATCATGATCCTATCCACATAGTGTAAAGTACACTTAGATATTGTGGTATGCTGATATGATACATAACTTCTGCTGATTAAACTTGACAATTTCAGACACGACATAGTAATACTACACGAAAACGATACAAAAAAATCGTTTAAGTTTAAAAAAACGTATTTTGTGTTTATTCGTGTCGACACGAATTTTGACACAACAAAATTCATGTTGTATATATATTGACTCTTTTAAACACGTGACACGACACGAATAATACATTTAATTTAATCTTGTAATACGAGTACACGTTTAATATGTTTAACACATTTTTTATATTTATTTTAATTTAATATAAATATAGAAAGATTATTTTAATTTTTAATTTTTTAATTATGATACTTAATTAACTATTTAATATTATGTAAATTTATTTTAAATATTTAATATGATACTCATTTAATAATTATTACAAAATTATTTTCTTATATTAATAATATAAATACAATATAAATATTAATATTAGTCCTATATATTATTATTTATTCTTTAATTTTTAATAGTTTATCATTTTAGATTTGATACTAAAAATTAATATAATTGTGTAATATAAATTAAATTTTAAATATATATATTAAATTCATATTAAATGAGTATTAAATTTTTTTATTTTTTTAATATGTAAGTACTTTTTTATATTATTAATATACCAAATTTATCAAATTATAAATGATGGATAGTTTATAGTTATTTATTATTTTATTCGTGTTCTTGTATATATTCGTGTTAATCATGTCTATTCGTATATATCTATATTAGTCGTGTATATTTGTGTATATTCGTATTTGTTTGTGTCATATTTAAACGAATTAATTATACAAGTGTTAATCGTGTCATGTTGCATGTAACACGTATATTAAACGTGTCATATTCGTGTTTTAATAATTTATGTCATTACACGTGTCAAACACAACACGAGACATTACATGAAAACAAGATTTACCAGGTCTACTGCTGATCACTAGGAACAAATACAGGGGCAAAAATCTATATTTTCCACATAAACACAATATAGAGCATTTAGAGTGAAAAACAAGCACTTATAATTTACATATGGAATGGAACGTCAGAATAATTTATTTCCTTACTTACAACTATTATAATGTGTATGCATCATTTGGTATCTAAAACCATAGATCATGTCACAAGATGTATCATTTGACACCATGAAATATACAAGGCATACTTAATCTTGTGAACAACAGAACTTGCTACTAGAAGCCAAAGAATGAGCACATGATTATAAAGATTATAAGAAATACAGCAAACATTACATTGCAACAAGGCAAACTTTGTTTACTTATGATAATATAAAAAACTAGCTATACTCACCCATTCACCGGGACAAAGAGAACGATAGTATTTGGCAAATCTCTCACATTCATTAGACTCTTCACCTTTTGCAGCCAAGCACCTATTTGATTTTTAAATTAAAAAAATACATTTGATAGTTTTCTAATAAGCAGAATTTGAAAATTAACATGCAATGTACCTGTGAAACTCAATGTAGCGGGTGAAACAATGTCTAGTTTGATTTGTTGTAGGGAAACGAAAGTCAGCTGGGGCTGTTTTCAGTTCAATCTGGGACTATACAAGGAAAAAGGATAGTGTGGAAGAAATGTGACTAATAGATGATAACTTGAAGTGAATTTGTTACTTATCAGTTCAAAGTGAAAACATTCAACTATGACAGTTCAGAATCATTTATCAAAGCAAAAGAGATGAATTTGAAATCATCCTGCAGAGGTTATACATTAATCATTCAAAGAAATTATGCATTAGAATGAAAATAAACATTCATAACTTTAGAAGCCAACTGGAAAGAATATGCATATAGCATTTGCGGCAGCCAACGGGCTTCCATGAGAAGCAGACAAGCTATTGCCGTTTCCAAATGCCATAAATAGGGCATCTGAAATTTCTTACTGCAGAATCAAAGTGTCTTCAGATTCATAGTTCACAAACAAGTTGATGGAGCATATGGCAGCAGCCTCCAAAGATGTTTAGGAGGAGTCTTAAAGTAGCTTGTAATACCCAGCCCTAAATTTGGTACATGTCCAATCATGAGAGATTAGTTGGAGACTCAGTAGGTTTTTATTATTTTCTTTTGAATGATAGCTTTATGTTTATTTGTGTTCAAATTGCAGGTTCTCATTCCATTCTGTCTTCTACCATTTTAGGTGGAAATGACATTTCATAATTTTCTGGTTTCCTGGAAATTATAGCTCTACATGCCAAAGAGTCTTATTTTGGGCTTTCCCTTATGGTATTTAGTTTTTATTTATAGTTTAGGTATGTCATTTTAAGTCAACTTTGTTAGTTTGTTAATCGGTTGGTTTCCTAATTAGAGTCTAAGAATCTGTTAAAAGAGCTAATTGCACTCAGAGCGCTCGTTCTTACTCGCCCAGGAGTGTCAGGTTCTATATGTAATCTTTTATTGAAAGGTAGAATTACTATGAGAAAATTTTCAGCATTAGATCATCCAATAAAATCAACCTCTGGTGTGATTCATATGGACAAAGCCTATATAATTTATTCTTATTATTTTCCAGCATTGTTTACATTTACAACCATCCCCAGATTACCTCCTTAAACCCAAGAACAGTCATTTACCAAACTCTACCAGTTCCTCAAAAGCAACTGTCAAGTTGGCCTCCCCCCAACCGTCAATTAATGTTCACAGACATTGTTCACAATACCAGAACAGCCTTTAAACTTCCTCAAATCATAGATGATCCAAGAAATACATGAAAGTAACTTCATTAAGATATTAAAAAAGACATACTAATTATTCTGATCTGTCTTCTATACATTCAAGATCAGTATAGAAAAGAAATCAAGAGATATATTTAAGTTAAAAAAAAAAAACTTTATATTTAAACTTGACTTTTTGCTTTTAAAATATCCTACTTTCCCTTTAGATAAACTTTCAGCAGCATAAGTCCACTACTCTAATCCAGTTTTCTTCAAGTACTTCAGAATTTATGCTGCTAATGGCATAACGCTTACTACAGTATGACTTTTAATGTCATCATTTGTTACTTTATCTATAAGTAAGTATATAATCTCTCCAGTGTCTTCATTAGTTACCTTGCGACACATTAATTCATAATTGCTATAAAGAGAACATAAGAGCTCGGCCTTGATAACACTTACTCTATATCTTATCATCATAGAATAAAGGTGAAAAAGAGTAGCAAGAGACAAGCTTTTGTACCAAATAAGTAGTGACTGTTGGAGTTGCCTTTCAAATTATATCCTAGTTTCAGATTAATTAGGCAAAACAACCTGGAAGGCAAAACTACAATCGCCTAATTCCTAAACTAATTTCCTTTTCATAGGACAAAAGGATTTGAACTTGCTACACTACAATAAACAACAATTACCAGCAACATAGAAAGAATTTAATATTCTACTTTGACACAAATTCTTTAACAATGAGGGTTGACCCCTTCAGATTTAAACATCTCTCAATTTTTTGGCAGTAAACTTCTATAACATTCAGCTTAAAAGTTAAGTCACCTATCACATGTAAAAGGCTTCTTCTCTTTCCCCTAAAGCAATAACTTTCTGATCAAAATTGATAGTATTCTCCTTTTTGTTCAAGCAATGAAAATTTCACAACTAAAACCTAGAAATTTAATAAAAGAGAGTATTTTTAAAAACAAAAAACAAAATAATCGCCCATATTAAATAAATAAGAAAACAGGGAATAAATTTGAGATCAATTAAGGAAATCGCTAACGAAATTTTAATTTCTACAAACAAAATTTTTCGATATTCTTTTTATTTCTGGAAGTTTATTGGAAAATAAACGGGGGAGCGAAAATGAAAGTGAAAATGAAGGTTACCTCGTCTGCCATGACTGATCCGATCGGAGAGCAAAGAAGAAAAATTCGGAAACGTTTCTTGACGGGGGACCTTAAAATAGGCTTACAAAAAGGACCAGTTAATTCTCTACGGTTCGTCCTATGACCAATAAGAACACACCACGTCCACAAATAAGCAAATCCTACATAAATTATACAAAAATATGTAAACCATTTTCCTTTTTATAATTATTAATTATTAATTATAATAGAAAGATAAGTAAATCAAATGCATTTATTGGCAAAAAAATAATCAATTTCATTCAATGTTGGTGATTAGCATCGGTTAATTATTGTGATATTTATAAAAAATTATTTAATAAAATTATTTTTTTTATTATAATAATAAACAATTGTCATTAAAAAAAATTTTTAAATTAAATCAGATATTTTGCAAAAAAAAAAAAATTGAATGAAAGTGTTCTTACATAGGAATCACTTCGAATTGATATCAGTAAAAAGTTAATTTAAAGTTGGATTTGTTTAGTCCATTAGTTAAGTCCATTCAAATTAAATTTTTTTAGATAAAGAAAAAAATTTTTTATATTAATATAGTATAATATTAATATAAAAATATTTTTTATAATTAAAATTTATTTTAATTAATATAATAATTTTTCAGAGGAACCAACCTAAGCTTGCGTATAAAATCTGTAGACAGGCTCAGCCCATAAGCGTGGCAGATCGTTTGGCCCATGCATACAACTCTAATTTTGAGATGAAGTGTTCTGCATAAACAAGAGCATATGCCTATGGTAATCAATATCATCAAATCGTATGTTTTTGGCCCCTTGAATTCCTTGTAAATTTACCACTTCAGGGTTTTTTTTTCATTTAATCAAGAAAATTTATTGGCATATAGGTTATTCTCATCCTTGTGTTAACATAAGAAAATTAAAAGTTATTTACATTAGATAACACTGACAAATCCATTTACAAAATTTGAAACTAATATAATAACACTAAAATAAATCATTTGTAAGTTTCAAATAGATTCTATAATTTCATTCGTGTTTAATGAATGTAAATTATGAAAATTTATTGTATCATAACTCGTATTTATATGTCAAAAATAAAATACATGTTATTGTTTTGATTAAACTTATATAATTTTTATTAAAATTTTAAACAGTATTACTTTAATATATCTTTTATATTTTTTTATATCATATTTAAAATTATTAAATCTAATTTTGGACTTAAGATTATTAATGTTGAGAAAAACTTTACCAATTGAACCAACTTTATATTTTACATAACATAAAAACAAATGTAAAGTTCAAGCTTAAAATATTAATGTTAAGACCAATAACTTTACCTCTTGAACAGATTATAAATTTTACCACATGAGTTGTTAGAATCTTGATCGTATTATTGAACATCAAAGTATACACACACGTCATATCTATGTATATAGTTAATTTCAAAAAAAACAGATTCCTAACTTTTCCCTGTTATCTCTCCATTCTTTCTATTTTCTCTCCAACTATATCCGTACGTTGAGTAGATTAAATATCAAGACTTGGTAAAAACACATGAGAAGATTTATCCCCAAAAAATAAGTAGTATTAAAAGCAGCTGGGGTACTGTGCTAGAGCAATAAACAGAACTAATGTGAAATTAACATCTGGGCAAAGTCTCTATCTCTTCTTTCAAGTCTTGTTCTTCGTTAATACTATGGCAGATAATAATGCTAATGCTAATCCACCAGAAGCTGTAGCAGTGGCAGTAATTGAAGAGAAGAAACTAAAACAAGCTGAGGACACGAAGAAAAATATTATTCCAAGAAAAATTTTTCAAGTGAAACAAATTTCAGGTATATTATCTGTGGCCTCATTTGTTTTCTCTCTTCCAGTTCTCGCATCGGTCATCTGGCTGCTATACATCAAAAGCTATGACTGCGAATGGCTATTCAAGTTGCCCAGGTTGCAGATTGGGATCAGCATTGGTTTGATCTGTGTCTTCTTGATTTGCAATGGTGCTCTGATCTTCTTGAGAACTCGGTTACCGATGGTGGGAATTATTGTGGTTATAGTGCCATTGACAGTGATGTTAACCGTCGGTCTTGCACTCCTTGGGGCTAACAACACGGAAAACAGAAGGATTCCAGCTACACCATTGTGGTTCAAGATGAAAATTCATGACAATAGTCTTTGGAGCAACATCAAAGATTGCATTTATGACACTGGCCTTTGCCAAGATTTGGCCACGACATCAATGGAGCTCAAATCATATGATTTCAATATGAAGAAATTATCCTTGATAGAGGTATCATCATTTTACATATCAAACTGATTCTTAAGTATTAATTTAGTTGACATCTTTGTTTTTTGTGAGAAATACTAATTCTGTTTATACTTGATCGTGTCATTTTTTAAAGTCTGGATGTTGCAGACCACCTCAAGAGTGCCACATGCAGTATGTGAATGCCACCTTTTGGGAAAGGAATGATAAAGTGGCAAATGAATCTGATTCATATAATGCCGACTGTGATTCATGGAAGAACGAAAGGGACGTTTTATGCTACAATTGCCAAACCTGTAGACGAGGTTATATCAGAACATTGCAGAGCAAATGGTTGAAACTTGGGGTGTTTCTAGTTTGCATGGCTGTGCTACTTATCACTTCTCATTTGTCTCTATTCCTCGTAACAATGTGGGAGCTTCATGTATCTTAAAGCAAAGCGGAAGGGCTGACTCATTTGCTTTTTGATGAACCTTTTTCTCTTTTCCATGTTTAGGATTTTATCTGGTCAACTTTGTTTTAATTGCTAGATGCCTAGACTCAAAATAATGAAAATTATTTAATGTTGCGGCCATCCTTTCTTGTACAAAGCTACCAATTAACTTCTGATGAAGTTAGTCGATAATCTAAATTGTTTAGGTACCCTTGACATGACCACAAGAATTTTGGGAATAATTTGCCCTTTTTTAAGAGTAAAAGCAGATTACTGAACCCTACTTGAAACAGGTGGATTTCCAAATAGCTTCCAAGTCCTAAAGTTCACATGTAAGATAGCACAACTAAGTTTGGTAATTTTAAATATGATAGGATAATTCAATACAAAAATGATAAAAAAATACAAAAAATAATATGATTTAAAATTTTAACAAAAATCGTATTAATTTAACAAAAACAAAAAATAATGTGTTTTATTTTTTATATGTCAATACGAATTATGATGTAATAATTTTCGTATTTTACATGTTTTTGATACGAAATATACAAATACTAATACATGAATTGCCATTTCTTACTTTAGGGCAAAACTATCTTAAGGAAATTTTCTATAAGCAGATTCAGGTTATGTACCAAAAAAGAATAAATAGTTTCATGATATAACCAAATATCTAACCTGCACAAATATCCCTTCAAATTGGAAAAGCAATCAAGGTCAATAAATGGTAATAAATTCTAACTGTGATAATAGGTAACAAAAGATTTTAGGATATCCAAACAAGATTAAAATTGCGGCATCACCATTCTTCATTCTTGATTCTTAAGGGTAAATACATACATCCACAGTTTCAATTGAACAACTGTTAAAAGTGCAATGGGTCTGGGTTCTGAGACCCTAATTTGCAAGAAATAAGAAATGACCATATCGTAACTACTGATATTGATCTATGATGCTTTGTTAAATGCTGACAACCGTTTAACAACGTAAAGCTAACAATTTATAGCTTTCACAGAAACCTAATTAACTCACTGTGTCCTATAAACCGGATATACTGGACCAAGGCAAGATAGATTATGAACAGCTCACATGGCAGCTTCTCCTTGTTTACCTCTGAGCAAGTGATGGATCATATGGTGCTACCCAAAACAGACCAGGAACAGCTTGACTGCCGGTTGCAGCAGTAGCAGCTGGAACATTGGCACTATTACCATATGGGACATTGCCCTCTGCTGGGCCAAGACCCACCGGCATTACAGGCTGCCCGTATCCATCAAAGTAGGTGCTGCCAACTTGAAAAGGTGGCACATGTGAAGGACCAGGATTCATGTAGCCACCAGCATATGGTACTGGACCTTTTGTTGCTACAGAACACAGCAGCAGTGCAAGGGAAGAGGAAGCGACAAAAGAAAAGAAGCAACCAGAACCCTAACTAATATAACCACCGTCTCTACAGGAAAGTTACCATGCACTTTCTTCTCAGCATTCAACACTTCAGAGCGTAACTTTTCAACTTCTCTTGCCATCCCAATTAGATTTTTTTCCGTAACTTGCATTTGCTCCACTTGCTCAATGTTTGAACCTTTTTCAAACTCAAATGTAACACTAGACATAAAACAGATGAAAACAATAATCAGAGCAAACTTCTTAGCAACTTTATGGTAGAAAATACAACCAATGAAATATGAAACAAAGAGACCTTGAGGTGAGCAACTTATTTATTTTGCTCACTTGAACATTTGGAAAATGTTGCAAGACTAATGACTCTGGGATCATAGAATGAACTTTATAGTAATCAATATAAAAATTTGGTGCCATCCTAGAGCACAATGTAGATGAGATGGATGGAAGCTCATTAGAGACATCTTGTTCCAGCCATTTACTTAAAGCTGAATGCCATGCTGGAGCTGGGAAATGGGGCAATAATTATGAACAGCACATTCACATGCCAATTTTATTAACAGTTACCAGGCAATTTAACATTCGGATGAACAAGAAAGCAAATAAATCAGATTTATGAGAAATGAGGTCCTAAAATTTGCATTAATTTGAATGAACAAATGCAGCACTTAGTCCTCTGGTATTTCTAGACAAGACCTTTTCATTAATAATAAAACATTTTGCCACAATAATAGCAAATATTGCTACAAAAATTTTCAATGCTAATATTTACTGAAGGGTTCCAGGACACCAAGGAACAATTTAACTTGTTTGACTCACCGTAATCTCTGGCGCTCTTTTCTCAAAACTTCAAGTTCAGCATGCAACTCTGGCAGACTCTTAACATCAACACGAGTTTTCAGCAACTCCTGAGAGGCCTGCTGAATTTGGGCCATTAACACTTGTCTGGCTTTGACCAAGTTTTGTGTCTCAATATGTGCCTGTTGCAACTCCTTTTTCACACTATCACCAACGCTAATATCTGCTTCCATTTTTGCAATCTTTTCCTGCAGAACCCTGATCTGAATATCACTCTCAGTCCGGATGCTTCTAATGTGTTCCTTAAGTTTCTGCGCTTCATGCCGAACAGCAACAAGGTCCTGCCTTAAGGCTACATGAGAAGCTGTCAACCTGTGATTGTCCACAGCAAGTCGCTCAACTTCTGCAGCCTGACAAGCAATCTTGTTCTCTAAAAGCTCAGGTGAAGGAAGTGACTCCAGAGCCCCAAGGGCAGCACGAGGACCTGTGCCAGCAAGTGGACTATGTCGTATCACACCTGGAGCTTGAATGGAACGTCCCTCATACAATGATTGGATTTGTCTAGAAGCCATCAGTCTGATAACCCACTCAGACTAGGTCACACTTAAATAGTAATCTGGAGCATATACACCTTAGGTATGGGTACCTAACCTTCTTATTTGAAAAAAAAAGAAAAAAGGTAAGAGAATCAGTCACAGGCCTCAAGACCATGCATGTGATAAAAGATACAAATTAAAGAGCATACCCTACTACAACCATATTCTACTTAAATAGAAACAAAATTTTGCAATGCTGAGCCCACACCTCCTCATGGCAACCCTCCTCCCAAAAAGAGAGAAAGAAAAAACAAATGTAAAAGGAAAATAAATAAATAAAGAGAAGCCCTGATATAGATTGCAAAAGGAAGAATGTCCTTTTTTATTTTCTCTAACTGCTGTAGGATTAATTTAACTCAATAATACATCTAGCAAAAACAACATGAATTGCAAATTTCTTAGATAAACACAAAATGTGGAACAGTTTTGTTATCATGGCAAGGGAAATGGAGCCTTTCCATCTGCAATTTATCAACATTATAAACCACATTTAAAATGCATTTTGGAGATGTTGATTTTTGACAAAATAGTATGATGCATCATTATGTAGAAAAAAACTGAGGTTCTTCTCAACATGTGGAGTCATCTACATGCATCATTACTGAAGGTAATTTACTATATCTCCAAAACTGCTTTTATCAATAATAATATTTATTTTCTCTAATTACTGTACTCTTTCAATAACAATTACCCAAACATAAAAATAATAATATAATATTATTACTTGGTCATTCCTTCTTGACTTGGCCATTCCAAAAGAGATTACCGCAAACATCAATAACAATTAATAGCAACATGTTTAGCCAACAAAAGAAAAGTCCAATCTTTTCTCCATGCAAAATCATGGTGTATTATGGCAGTCTTGCTCCATTCTGTTAATAGCCAAACCGAGCAATTACATATGCCATTTTAACAATCACCCCTTAACTCACCTAATCCTTCCGAAATTTTACCCTCTTGCTATGACTAGAATAAATGCAATTTGATTTTAGCATGAATCTAACTGATGCTGCCTCATTCCACAAGCAAAGGCCAATACATCATTTTAAAAACAGAGTTAAAAATCTCCCCTGATTTGCAAGGACACTGATTTATGGCTGTGCTATTGCGGTAGAGTCCAGCTCAGACCTGCTGGGAAGAACTCCACAGGGTTCATCTATTTATCCATGGTTTTAAAATTCAATATTCTTGAAGGCATGAAAGCCAATCGGCCATAGATCAAACAAATGCGGCAATTGTCATACATAATCCACGTTCAAACCTTTCCCTTTATGCATAACTATAATTTCAAATATGTACCATCTTTAAAGCAATAAAAGGAGAAATTCCACCATTTCTTAATATTCCAATTTCCTATACGTGAGAAAATTTATGTTCCGTAATTATTGTCCCAGAGCAAGCACAATAATGCAGATTCTATAAACTTCCTCTCTTTAAGAAGGAGGTTTTGATTGTTTAAGTTTGCTGATCGATTATTTCATTTTGCATTAATTAATAAATTTCAGTATAAAACTAAACTAAACTTACAAAACCAACAATGCCCCTGATTGAATTTTAAAAAAAAAAAGAAGAAGAGGAAAGAAAGAAAGAAAGAGAACTGCAATGACCAAATAACCTTTTGGTTGGGGCTTGAGAAAGGGATGATGGGAGACATTGGGTTTCCTCAATCAAATGTGTTGTCGACCACCTTCAAATTCCAGGCAAAGCCCAAACTTCACCCACCAAATTTCTATCAATCAAACTTTGAGATTCTAAAGCAATTGTTCTGATACCAAGATTTTCAGAGTCTGAAACCGGGCTGACGAAGAAATAGAAAAGGAAAAAGGAAAGCAAATGGGAGTTTATAAAGAAGCGGCCTCGAGATCAGCCGAGGCATACCCAGCCCGGTGGGCGAAACAGGACGTAAGCAATGGTTTTGGCTTCTCGTTGATGGAACTTATAATACGATAAATGATAAAAAAAAAAATTATACATGTATTTTTTATTTATTTATGTTGATATAAGTTTTAATATTATATAATTTGTATCATATATGTATAGGTAATTTAAACATACGAGATAATATAAATAATAAGTTTAATTTAATTTTATCATATAAGTATATAGTTAATATTTTAATACGTTTAATATTTTTTTATATTTATTTTAATTTAATATAAATATATAAAAATTATTTTAATTTTTAATATTTTTATTGTAATACTTAATTAGTTATTTAATATCATATAAAAATATTTTAAACATTTAATTACGATACTCATTTAATAATAATTATAAAATTATTTTTTATATTAATAATATAAATATAATATCAATATTAATATTAGTATTATATGTTATTATTTTATTATTTAATCTTTAATAGTTTATTATTTTGAATTTGGTACTAAAATTAATATAGTTATGCAATATAAATTAAAATTTAAATATATATTAAATACATATTAAATGAGTATTAAATTTTTTAAATTTTTCAATATGTCATATACCAAATTTATTAAATTGTAAATGAAGAATAGTTTATAATTATTTATTATTTTAATCATGTTTTTATATATATATATATATATTCATGTTAATCATGTTTATTCATGTATATTCATGTTAGTCGTATTTATTCGTATATATCTGTATTATTCATATTTATTTGTGTCATGTTTAAACGAATTAATTGTACACATGTTAATGTATCGTGTTACGTATAATATATATATATATATATATTAAACGTATCATATTCATATTTAAAATTTAAACACGTTTTATAATTCGTGTCGTATTCGTATTTTAATAAATCGTAACATTAGACTATCAAACACGATACGAGATATGATATAAAAACACGAATTGCCAGGTCTAGTTGTTGACACAAGTTTAAGGTTACAGAGAACCTTGATCAGAGTTTTGCATTTTTGTAAAAAAAAAAAAATTATTTCATAATTTTTATTCATTTTAATTTTTTATAAAATTTATTTAATTAAAAATATAAAAAAACAAAAGATAAAAAAATTATATATAATATTCTAATTGATCAATTTTTTCATAAATTTTATTCAATAAAAAATAAATGCCAAAAATTAAAAAAATAAAAGAAAAAAAAAGGAGAAAAAACTCACACGGGTGAGTTTAAAATATTAATTTATTAAATTAAAGTAAAAAATAATTTTATTAATATAATATATATAATTAAATAAATAATAAAATATATACTTTATATATACATTGAAATGGATCAAGACAAAGTACATTAAATACACTTTTTGATCTAAGCTTAATTATCTTTAAAAAAACTCAATCCGTCTTAATTTATATTGTTTGAGGACAAAATGACCAAATACTCACTTGACTCGTCTCAAAGTAAAATACTATAAAAATTTATAAATTCTTAAAAATAAAAAAGTAAATAGAAAAAATGATAAAAAAAAAAGGAAAAAAAAAAGAGATTAAAAAGAACAAAATAACTTGACACATGACATATTTTTGATATTAAGTTGGCGAGACAAAAAAAAATTAAATCTAAAAAAAATATTTATTAACTATATAAATAAACAATAAAAAAAGAATAAAGTAAATACATAGTATACCTTTAATATAAATATTTAAAAAAAAAAAATAAATAAATGATAAAAAAATTAAAAGGAAGAAAATAAATTGATAGATAGCTTACTTTTGGTATTAAGTTGACAAGAAAAAAGATTTTAAAGTTTAAAAAATATTTATTAATTATATGAGAAAAGAAAATAATAAAAAAATAAATACACGACATATGTTTTCAACTATAATTCAAAAAAAAAAAAATTTAAAATTTTGAAAAAAAAAAGAGAAAACTTTGTATAATGTAAGTCGGACTTTTAAAAAATATTTATTAAATATAAAAAAGATTTTTAAAAAAGAAAAAAAGTTAAAAAATCAATTTAAAAAATTGACTTTTTTTTCATTAATTAGCTTTTTCAATGATATTAATTGCTAAATAATTTTATTATAACATCGTATCACTTTTGTAATTGTCAACTAATTGCCCATACTCTGTTTTATTTATTTTTAAATTAAAATTTTCTTTTAATTAATTTTTTTACCATAATACAAAATATTATATATATTTGATAATAAATTTTTATTAATTATTTTATTATTATATAAAGTGATAAATATTTGTATTATATTATTCTATTTTGTAATTTTTTTTTCTTGCTTATGTCAATCCATGAGTTTGGAAAAAAGGGAAAAAAATTAAAATAAAAAAAGTTGAAGAAAGAGTTAAAGAGGTAAGACGTTGCTTGCTTAAAAAAATTTCAATACTCGGTTCCAATGACCAAAATTTATTTTATGGATTCGGATAACATTTTTTTTACTGTTATTAAAGTCTTACATAATATTATTAAATATATAAAAATGTATTAAAACCATAAATAGAATAATATTGTAATTAAATTTTTATTAGCATAAATTAGAAAATGATTAAAACTATCTATATAGCATTTATGAAAAAAAAAAAATGATAAAGACATATTGTATTTTCTTTGAATTGGAATTTAGGTCAAACGGGTAGTTTTTAAATTTCACATGATAAAAATAGTAACCAACTAAATGAATAATATGGTAAAATGAGGTAGTTAAAGAGATAAAGGGGAAAAAAATACCAACAAAAGCAAAAAAGAAAAAACTTTATAAATTAATGCTAAGAAAAAAAATGATTATAAGAGATGAAGGAATTTAGCTAATTTAATTACGCAATAGGGAAAATAAAATCAGAGTTCTGTTTATCTACCAGAATGTGAGCTTGGAAGTGATATCTTTGAATTACAATATTTAGTTGATTAAAATAGAAACCTTTTTTCAGAAAGGAAATACATGTTGAAGACTCAAAGCTCTACTATATGTATATAACTTGTTCATTGATTTATCAACGCCTGTTGGAAAGAGTGGTAAGGAGTTTGGTTTCTTTTGAATTAGATCTCGATTTTAAATCTTGTAAATAGAGAAAACAGGCTTTGGAGAGTTTACCCCCCTTATGGGATCCGACCTGGCTCGATTTCAAATTAATGGACGCCTAAAATGATTACCGGACACCAAGAAATTTCAGATTAAAAAAAAAAAAAAAACTTTGTTAGTTAGTTTCAAAAATAAATAAATAAAAATAATAGATGCAAGCATGAGCGTTAATGCATGTCAATGGAGACATGACTGTAATTTAATTTCGTTTAATAATTTAACAACCTAACAAACACTCAATTTATCTAACAATTTAATTGTAATTAAATTATAAAGTAACTACATTGTTTATACCCACAAACATGCAATTCAACATTCTAACAAACACCCAAAATTTAATATCAAACATTGAATTATATTGATCTACACAAATAAACTTAAGAAATAATTAACAATAAATATAACATTTGGACTTATTTTTAAGCAATTATTAATATATATAAAAATAAAATTTTCCAATTTGAAATTAGCATTTGAAAAGTTTGCCCACATGCCTCTAGTGTAGAATTTCTCTCTTTTGATTTTGTTTAAATGCACCAAAAATAAATCCCAAAACCTTTGTCTTATTCTTGACTTAATCTTTAATTTTTATATTAATGTTATGAATGACTCTTAAATTATAGTGAAATATTTAATTTGATTTTTAAATTTTAAAATTTTCTAATATGATATTTGAATTATGAATTTGTTAACTGATTCGCTATTTAAAGAATCGTTTATCTACCACATTTATCATTTGAAACTAATCATATTAGGGATAAATAATATATTAATTAACATATTCATAATCCATGTATCATATTAAAAAAATTTTAAATTTAAATATTACATTAAACATTTCTTCTTTCATCTCTCTCCATTTTTTCTATGAACTTTGTAAGTTTTTAGATTCCTTAACAAGTTGTCGATATAAAAAATGCCAAAAGCTTTTTTATATTTATTGTAATTTTAAATTGATTAAAAAGACAAGCTTTTTTCACTATAAGAAATCTGACATATAGTATCACTAAAAAAAATCGATAAAACCCCAAAATCCATCAGTATAGCACCATAAACCTTATACTGATAGTCAAAATGTGTATTCCGATCAATTTTTAACCGTCAATATATCCCTTATCTGTATAGACCTATACTAATGATTTTTAATGTGTCAGAATAACTTACAGAGATATACCTATGGTTCAAGACTGTTAGCAAATATATATATCTGTTGATATAGCATCTGTTGTATGTTTCACCATTATACTTTTGAACGACGGTTAACACCCGTCAATATAGACTTGTATATTTTAATTTTTCTTGCTTATACCAATGATTATGTTCGTCAGTATAGACTTTTAATTTTTTTACCTATACTGACACTTAAAGCCTATTAGTATAGATTTGTATGTTTTAATTTTCTCATATATGTCGATAACTAACGTCCGTCAGTATAGACTTATATGTTTTAATTTTTTTGACCTATATCGATGGTTAATACCTGTCAATATAGATTTATAATTTTTCTTACATACACCGACGTTTAGTATCCATCAGGATAGACTTATATTTTTTTAATTTTTTTACCTATATCGATTGTTAGAGACTGTCCGTATAGAATTATGTGCTTTAATTTTCTTACTTTTACCAATGGTTAGAGATTATCAGTATAGACTTATATCTTTTAATTTTTTTATTATATTTTGGAGACTGTTAGTATCGTCTAAAATATTCTAACGATCAAGTGCGTTAGTATAAATGTTAAGACATTGATAAATTTTTTAAAAAATTATAGTTTCAATTATTAATATTAATTTGTTTATAATCATAATATGATATGTTTTCATATAAACAAAAAAAAAAACAATAAAGTAAAAGATATTTAATAACATTGAAACTACAAGTAACTTATTTATAATCTATA